CCAGAAAGCCTGGCCTCCCTCGGCGCCGCGGCTCTGGGCTCGCCTGCTGCTCTCCCCGCCCCTCGAGGCTCTCCCCGGCGGATCCAGCCGAAGATGCTCCTGCTGCCCATCGCTTCCTTCACGGGAGGGAGGCCACAGAGGCCTGGCCTTGTCCTCGCGACTCCTCTGCAAACAGACCCACCCACCTCTCTGCTGGAGTCTCTTAGGGACTCATGCTCCACCCGGCTGAAACCCAGCTCCTCCCCTTCCTGCTCAGCCCTTCCATGCTGCTCCCTGCGCACGCCACCGCCTCGGGCCTGGAGCCTGAGCAACCTCTGACTCGGGCTTCTCCTAGGGCCTCACAGCCAGGCCTGCTGTGCGTCTGGCAGATCCCTTCTCCATCACGTTTCCAAGACAGTGCTCTTCCTTGTCCTTCCCTGCGACTGAATCCCCCCGCCCAAGCTCGGAGCCGTTTGCGTACCTCAGAGTTACAACCGCTGTGGGGTGGCGGCTGCCTGGGGCGGTTCTTTCGAAGGTCCGCCTCCGTGCATGCCAGCTCTCTGAATCTCTCCCTGCTGCTCCCGGAGTGCACACGTCTGGTTCCAAAGGAGTCCGTGTGGAACTGCACCTTCTGCCGGCCTGCGACACCCCCCTTGGGTGAACAGATGCAGCCGTGGCCCGCTGAGAGCCACTCCCAATGCTGCAGCAAAGATCGTTTGCCTAGTTTATTGCTTTGACCCTGCTGCTCCCCCCGCTCGCTCTGCCTCCCCCCCGCTCCGTCTGCCTCCCCCCGCGAGGGCCCCCATCTCTGTCACAGGAAAAGTAAGCTGCTTATCGTCACTAAGGCCTTTCCTGGCCTATCCCCACCTGATTCTCTCATTCCGTATCAAAACGTTGATGCTCTTCCAGTGTGCCCATTACACCGGCCTGCATTGCCCGCTGAACGTTTCAACAAGCACCCTCATGGTTTCCCCTGTAAACATCAGCAAAACTAACTGGTGCGCCCGCTTCGTCCCCCTCCTGACAATGCTCGTGGCGCTGCCAGTGGGCTGGCTGGGGTGAGCTGCAAGCACAGCCTGGCATGGTGCGTGGCATCGTCCGGTCGCTTCCCTGTGCTCCCCCGTCTGGCTGGCGGCTTTGTCTGTCAGCTCCTGGGAGCAAGGCCCGTGCTGGAAAGAGAAATCTCACTTCCCAAAGCTGCAGGTCAGATGTGGAGCACGGTACGGCGCAGTGCAGTGCTGGGAGTGAGCGCTGTCGCTGCGGGCTCGGAGCACACAGCTGGACGGATGTTCTTGCACCCTGTGCCAGGCGCTTTGGGTACAGGCTCTAGCGTGGCCATGGCTGTTCCAGAAAACGGACCTCTGGTGGTTTTAGCACGGCGGGGATGTGGGGGCAGAGGCACCCGAGTCCCATGCCAGGCTCGATCCAGCTTCTTGCCTCCTGTGCGTGGGTGCAAACTGAAACGGCTCGAGGCAGCTGTAAAGAAACGGGCCCTGCGGGGAATTTTGGGTGCTGGCCTGTCCCTGGGCCGGGGCCTGCCCAAGGAGCCTCCAGGCAGGGTGCGGCCCCAGAATCTCTGCCTGCTTGGCTGCCCTAGACAGTCCCTTGGGTTGTCCTGCCCAATAGACCAGGGCGAGGCTGCTGCCCCAGCTCTGGGAGAACTGTCCATGAGGATCCTCGTCCCTTGCTGGCTCGGCGCCTCCTGGGGCCCTCACGCTGTGTCTCTCCTTGCAGCTGAATCACCCCGACCTGGTGGAGGGGCTCGTGCTTATCAATGTGGATCCCCCAGCTCTGGGAGAACTGTCCATGAGGATCCTCGTCCCTTGCTGGCTCGGCGCCTCCTGGGGCCCTCACGCTGTGTCTCTCCTTGCAGCTGAATCACCCCGACCTGGTGGAGGGGCTCGTGCTTATCAATGTGGATCCATGCGCAAGAGGCTGGATGGATTGGGCCGCAGCCAAGGTGAGACCCCCCGGCTGTGCCACAGACCGCCCCGTGCAGGCCCTGAGGCCGCGCTCTCGGGGGC